GTATGTAAGTGCACCTGTGTCATGCAGTGTCCTCAGAGGTCAGAAGAAGGCATTGGATTCCCTGGAACTGGAGTTCCAGATGATTGTTAGCCACCATGTGGGTCCTGGGAATCGAACCTGGGTCCTCTGCAAGAGCAGTCAGTGCTCTTAAATATAGAGCCATCTCTCTAACCCATTTTGTTTTTTTTTTAATATTTATTATTTTTAATTTATGTGTATGACTCTACTGCTTGTATGTATGTATGTGCATCCATGTCGTGCAATGCCCACGGAGGTCAAAAGAGGGCGCCAGATCCCCTGAAACTGGAGTTATGTTAGCTGCCATGTGGGTTCTGCGAACCTAACCCCAGTCTTCTGCAAGAGTAGCCAGTGCTTTTAGCTGCTGAGCATCTCTCTGGTCCCACGGTTTTATATATAATTTTTATCTGGAAAGTATACTTATAAAATATTCTACTTTCAGATATTTAGTCTTGGATATTGCAGATAATCCAGTTGAAAATATAATACGTTTTTTCCCTATGGTAAGTATCAATATTTTAATATAATTTTAGATTTATGATTTGGAACTATTGGTTTTGGTTTTAAAACACCTTAACTTTGTTACAACTGAAAAAAACATAGGATTATTTTTAAAAGTAAGTGAATTACTTGTAGAATGTTTTTTGGTTTTTTTTTTGTGGGGGTGGGGGTCTTTTTTGAGACAGGGTCTCCCTGTAGCCCCAGCTGGCCTGGAAATCACTATGTAGTGCAGGCTGGCCTTGAACTCACAGAGCTCCACCTGTCTCTGCCTCCCAAGTGCTGGAACTAAAGGCGTGCACCACTGTGCCCAGCCACTTGTAGAAACTTTTTTTTTTTTAATTTTTATTTTACGTGTATGTATATATTGCCTGCATGAAGTGCACCCATGTCGTGCAATGCCCAAGGAGGACAGAAGAGGCTTTCGGGTACCCTGGAACTATAATTAGAGACAGTTGTTAGCTGCCATGTGGTGCTGGGATTCAAACCCGGGTCTTCTACAAGAACAGTCAGGGTTCTTAACTGCTGAGCCATCTGTCCAGCCCTGAAACTTTTAAAATTAAATTGTGTAGCATTTAGGTTTTGTTTTTCAAATATGGAGTTTTGCTCTGTATTCCAGCCTGCCCTTGAACTCAGAATCTTTTCACCTCAGCCTCCCATGTATTAGGATTACAGGTTAATAAATACTACCACATCCAGTTGCATTCTTGAATGATGAAAATTTTTATTCAAATACATTAGCATGAAACTGTTTTCAGTGTATTTCATTTTGTTTACTGCATTTTGTGTTTATGTTGCTCTACATGTTTTGCTATGACACAGTGTCTTTTGCTTCCAGAGTAAAGAATTTATTGATGGGAGCCTACAGAATGGAGGTAAGTAGTACTTTTATTTTTAGATTATTTGATACTGTAATCTTTTAGTTGCCATTTTTTGTAAATGCAGCATATGGAAATTATAGTTTCATCTGATAGGCCACTCCCGAATTTATGCTTGCTTCATCTTGTAAGATTATTTTAAATCTCTCCATTTAACTATTATCAAATTCTCTGATCTTTCAACTTCTCAAAAAAAAAATCTGTTGTATTCTCTATATAATTAAAGACTTGAAAATTAATAATTAAGTGGCATGTATATAAAAACTGTACTCTGTGTGTGGTTTCATCGCCTCCTGACAAGTATTTTTCTAATAGTAAACTTATTTTTAATTTTTCCAGGAAAAGTTCTTGTTCATGGAAATGCAGGTATCTCCAGAAGGTAAGAAGATCAAGAAAGTCTTTCTCTCTCCCACATTTCAAGTGTATTTTTCTTAGGAAAAAGTGATGGGGAGATATGGGAGGAGTTGGAGGGGAAGGAGTGGGCATGGATTTGATCAAAATACCTTATATGCATGTATGAAATTCTCAATAAATTTTTTTTTAAGTTCAAAAAAAAAGTGTATTTTCTAAAAAGTGTTTTCCTCTGTCTTTAGTGCTGCCTTTGTTATTGCATACATTATGGAAACATTTGGGATGAAGTACAGGTAAGAAAACACTAAAATCTAGCAATAGTTTACATTCTTATTAAAATGGAACTGAATAGAAATAGTTGAGAGTTTAAGGTTCAATATTCCCTGTTTTTTTCATGTAGTTTTAATTGATTAGGCAAAACTAGAAAACTACTTGATAATTAGGAAATTGGTTAGTCTCAGTTTAAAAACCTTACAATTTTTATTTAAACAATGTATACTCTGTATAGAATATGTCTATAATCAAAACATTGGGGAGGCTAAGGGCAGAAAAATTGCTGTAAGTTTATGATAAGCCTGAGTTTGGGGCCATCCAAGACTATTTATTTTATGTGTACGAGTGTATTGTGTGCATGTATGTTAATGTACAGTGTCATGCAGTACCCATGGAGGTCAGAAGAGAGCATCGGATTCCTCTGGAACTGGAGTGATGAATGGTTGTTAGCCACCTTGTGGGTGCTGGGAGTCAACCTGGGTCTTCTGCAAGAGCAGCCTGTGCTCAACTACTGACTCATCTCTCCAGCCCCAGCACATAGATTTTTTTTAAAAATTTTATTTATATTTTTATTTTATGTGTATGCATGTATTGCCTACATGTAGGTAAGTGCACCCATGTCGTGCAATGCCTGCAGAGGTCAGAAGAGGCTGTCGGATCCCCTGGGACTGGAGTTACAGACAGTTGTTAGCTGCCATGTGGGTGCTGGGATTTGAACCTGGGTCTTCTGCAAGAACAACCAGTGTTCTTAACTGCTGAGCCATCTCTCCAGCCCCCCAGCACATACATTTTTTAAAGAGAGGAAGATGTAGGATCTTCTCCACACATAACAAAAACTAAAGTAGTATACAGTATACTTTTACTCTTTTATTGTTATAAATCCTGTCATCATTACCAACTCTATCTCGCTCCCAAATTGAAGAGTTTAAAAATATTTGCGTCTGATAGGGAGAGTTGCCTTCAGTTGTGTGCCTACTGCTTACCCTACTAGGTTCCAATGAATAGTCCCAAACTAGTGGTCGCACAATAAATGGGTCACAAAATAAACCCAAAAGTCATGAATCAGGGAAAGACTGGTAGCATTGGGGGTGGAGGGCATAGAGAGAGTAATCAGTACATTATATGCATATATGAAATTGTCAAATACAAAATTAATGGATTAAAAAGATTTTGGTTCTTAAAATATTATCTGAATTCAAATGCTTTACCTGAGAAATAATATACTTTACATTTATATTCTTTATTATTTGGAATCTTGTCAGTAATAGTAATAATCCCTGATTTTAGTGCTTATTACTAGGCACTTATAACCATTTAAGCCTTACCCTTGATTTTAGTGCTTATTACTAGGCACTTATAACCATTTAAGCCTTACAACAAGAGGTACTTAGAGTTAACCTCTCACAGAATGTGTAAACATGTGCCATAGCATATGTAAACTACATGCACAAAGTGCATGTGCACCTCATCTTTACAGTGCTTCCAAAGCAAGCACTAATAATGTTTACTTTACTGATGAGAAAAATAGAGCTTAAAGTTGAGCAAGTTCCCAAGACAGTGGTGAGCTGAGGGATTGTGATTTTAGTTTGCCTGACTTCAATCCAGTACAACTCACTACCCCTCTGTACTGTAGGCTGCATAATTGTATGATTTCTTATTTTTGGAAAATTTTCGGTGTTTTTTTTGTTGTTGTTGTTGTGGGCCCCTCCCCCCCCCATTTTCCCTCTACTGCACTGGGGATTGAACCCAAGGGCCTTGCATGTGCTAAGTATTTTACCACTGAAATATATTCCCAGCCATAGGAAATTTTTCAAATAAGTTCTTTAGGTAAATTCTTGGGGAAAAAAAGAGATTAATTCATGAAATAGTTGCCATTGCATTATTTTTTCTTTCTCTATTTTCAGAGATGCATTTGCTTATGTCCAAGAAAGAAGATTTTGTATTAATCCTAATGCTGGATTTGTCCACCAGCTTCAGGTAACTAACTTCTGAGTTGATTCTCTGTATAATGATTAAGATGTTCTATCCATGTAGCTTAGGTGTAGAATTTATTTTGTAAATACTTAATATTTTGGGGGGATATTTTTGGTGTTTTTTTGTTTGGTTGGGTTTTATTTTTTTTGAGACAGGGTCTCTCTGTAGCCCCAGTTGGCCTGAACTTGTTATGTAGACTAGGCTGGCCTGGAACTCACAAAGATACATCCACCTGTCTTGGCCTCCCAAGTGCTGGGATTAAAGGCATGTGCCACCACACCTGGTGTGAATATTTTCGTACTCTGACTAAATTGATGATTATTCCTGGTTACATCTTTATTTAAAAGTATTTTTTCTTAAGCCGGCCCTGGTAGTTCATGTCTATAATCCCCATACCCAAGAGGCTGACACAGGAGGATTGTCATGAGCTTGAGGTCAGTCTGGAGTACACAGCGTATGCCAGGCCAGTGTGGGGTTATAGTTGCAGTTACCAAGAAAATGGGTTAAGTCGGGCACGGTGGCATATGCCTTTAATCCCAGCACTCGGGAGGCAGAGGCAGGCAGATCTCTGTGAGTTCAAGGCCAGCCTGGTCTACATTGCAAGTTCCAGGCCAGCTGGGGCTACAGGGAAACCCTGTCTCAAAAAGACCTCCCCTCCACCAAAAAAAGAAAATTAGTTAACCCCCCCCAAAAGAAAATGAGTTAAAGGTATAGTGGTAAATATAAGGTAGAAAGCTGGGGACACAGCTTAGTGGTAAAGGTGCTTGTCATCAAGCCGGAATTCGATCCCCAGGACGTATATGGAGGAAGGAGAGAAATAAGTTGTTCTCTCTCTCTCACTTTCACACACACACAGAGACAGAGTGACAGAGAGTCTGAGTCAAACAATGAACTTTTAAAGAATTTGGATAAAAGAATCTAAAGGAAAATTAAGTGTAAGGTAGAAAAATGAATATTTTTTTCCTCAGTGTTGGCCATATACAGAATATGAGTGTTTGGTTCTAAGAACAGATTGAATATCCTTAATCTGAAACCTGAAATGCTTCAATCCCCCAAACTTTTTGAGTGCTAATTTTTTGGATTAGGGATTCTCAACCAATAAAGTCTATGCAAATATTCTAAAGTCCAAAAAGCAGTTCCAGGTATATTGGATAAGAGATATTCAATATATGTGCTAAGTCTGTCAGCTTTTTCTGTTCTGTATATTTTATGTGTATGAGTGTATTGCCTGCATGCATGTATCAGGTCCCCTGGAACTGGAGTTACAGATGGTTGTTAGCCGCCATGTGGGTGCTGGGAATTGAACCCAGATCCTCTGCAAGAGCATCCAGTGCTCTTAAATGCTGAACTGTCTCTCCAGTCCCCAAGTATGTTTTTTAAAGGAGTCTTTTTAATGCATATGAATGTTTTGCCTGCATGTATGTAAGTGTACCTGTCTTGTGCAGTGCCTATGGAGGACAGAAGAGGGTGTAAGATCCCCTAGAACTGAAGTTATAGGCAGTTTTTTTTTTTTTTTTTTTTTTTTTTTTTTTTTTGTCTTTTGTCTTTTTGTCTTTTTGAGACAGGGTCTCCCTGTAGTCCCACCTGACCTGAACTCACTATGTAGATCAGGCTGGCCTTTAACTCACAAGGATCGACCTGCCTCTGCCTCCGGAGTGCTGGGATTAAAGGCGTGCGCCATCATGCCTGGCTATAGTAGTATATATTTATGATCAACAAAATTGAAGTTTACCTAAGAATGAAGTGTAAAGTACGTCTCCGTAGTAATATATCTTGAAGAAACAAGGTATGATGGCATATACCATTAACCCCAGTATTCAGGAAGCAGAGACAAGAGGATAGCTACAAGTTCAAAGGCAGCCTGGTCTACAGAACAAGTTGAGGCCAGTCAGGGCCTCATAGCAAGTCCCTGTCTAATAATATATTGAACATACTTTTGTAATATACAGTCACTGGACACAGAATGTTTCCATCAATAATGAGCTACATATACTATGGTGGCCATAAGACTGTAATAGACCAGAAAGTGTCCTATTGCTTAATGGCCTTGCAGTCATCATAACATTATAGTGTAATGCATTACTCTTTGGTTTGTGGTGATGCTGGTATAAACCTACCTGATGTAGTTTACTGTGATTGTGTGTTTACTGTATCTCTTGTTTGCATAGTTTTCACATGTCCTTGATTTGATCTTGTTTTGTTCATCAAGACTCTAAGGATTATACTATACCATTCATATATAGACAAACCATTTAGCTTAGGCCTGTAATAGGTTATGCTATCTAAATTAAGTGGACTCTGATGTTCACACAATGAAATTACCTAAACACATTTTTAAAACGTATTTCTATTAAGCAGAGCATTACCTTTATGTATCACAGTTTTAGAAAGATGCTCTGATAGTTATCTTTGTATACATTTGTGAATGTATTTGTAAGATAATTTAAGTGGAATTGCTGGGTTAGAGCATATCTAAAATTTGATAGATATTGCGAAATTATCTCTAAATAGGATGAAATAAACCATACCACCTGAAAAAATGGATAGCTATTTTCTCCTACCCTAGTCAGTACCAATAGCCATTAACATTTATACTACTTTTATCATACCATGGTAAATTGGCAGCTCCTTACAGTTTTAGTTTGCTTTCCTTTGAATGAGTTTGGTCCACTTTTCCCATGTTTAGATGATTTGTATTTATTTTTCTCTGAGCTGATTATTTGTACTTTTTGCTTGCTTCTCTACCAGGTTATTGGTCTTTTCCTCATTGGTTGTAAGAGCTCTATGTATATTAAAGCAATCTATAGGTTTGACATGTCTTTTAGCTTGCCATCACTGTCACTTATTTTATTATAGTCAACTCATAAAAAATGTGTATTTGACTGTTTTGAGAATTCTATTCTGTGATCATTTGGTCCCATTGCTTTGAGGAGAGACAGCATATCATTACTACTACAAGCCAGGAAGTAAAGAGAAAGGAGAAAGGGCTGGATTCGTATAATGACCTACAGGAGAATGCCCCCTAGTGACCTAAGGACTTGCCACTAGACTGTACCTTTGGAAAAGTTCTACCACCCCCAATACCATCCTGCAGACCAAGCCTCATGTATTAGCACATGGGCCTTTGGGGGACTTTTAAGATCCAACCTAAAATAATGCTATTTTTTATTATATACCAAATTCTATACTCGAATCTATTTCTAGACTTTGTATTCTGCTCTATTGTTCTGTTATTGTAATTATATTAAACAGGTCTTTTGAGGCAGGGTCTTACTATGTTGCCCAGGCTATCTAAACTAGTAGACTCAAGCAGTCTTCTATCAACTTTCTGAGTTGCTGAGATTAAAGCTTGTGTAACCATATCCAGTGCTAACAGGTGTTTTTATATTTGGTTTGGTTTGGTTTGGTTTTCTTTTGGTCTATTTTTGAGACAGGGTCTCCCTGTAGCCCCCAGCTGGCCTGGAACTCATTATATAGACAAGGCTGGCCTTGAACTCAGATATCCACCTGCCTTTCAAGTGCTGGGATTGTGCCACCACGCCTGGCCACTGCTAACAGTTTTAAACACTATGGTTTATACAAATAATTTATAGTATTTGCTCAAGATCCACAGTACTCTTTCTACAATTTACTTGGTGAGATTTTATTTGGTGTCAACTCTAGTAAAAGGAGTCTGCGTGCATTTTAATAGTACTCTCAATTTTTAGTTGAAAAAGAATTAAAACCTTAAGCTTGACAAATTGACACATGCTTGTAATCCCAGCATTCCAAAAACCTGAGGCAGAAGAATGGTAAATTTCATGATAGGCTGGGCTAGAAAGTAAGATTATTCCCCCAAAATTAATTTACACGACACAGGTGCACTTACATACATGCAAGCAATACGCTCATACACCTAAGATAAAAATAATGAAATATAGCTGGGCATGGTGGCGCACACCTGTAATCCCAGGGCCCCGGAGGCAGAGGCAGGCAAATTTCTGTGAGTTCAAGGCCAGCCTGGTCTACATAGTGAGTTTCAGGACAGCTGGGGCTACAGGGAGACCCTGTCTCAAAAAGACCAAAAATAAAATAAAATATTAAAAATATTGCCATTTTCAAATGTATTTGTCTTATTTAACATTGTTTATTGTATCATAAGTAATGATGATAGTGTTCGTATGTATTTTTTAAAAGATATATTTTATTTATTTAAATTTTTTTTTGTCTTTTTGAGACACGGTTTCCTTGTAGCCCCAGCTGTCCTGGAACTTACTATGTAGAGCAGGCTGGCTTTGAGCTCACAAAGATCTACCTGCCTCTGTCTCCCAAGTGCTGGGATTAAAGGTGTGCACCACCACACCTGGCTCTTTTATTTATTTATTTTTTGGGGATCTTTTTGAGACGGTATCCCTGTAGCTGGAGCTGGCCTGGATTCACTAATGGAGACCAGGCTGGCCTTGAATTCACAGATATCCGCCTGCCTCTGCCTCTGAGTGCTGGGAATAAAGGCGTGCACCACCATGCCCAGCTGAGACATATTTTATTTCTTTTTTTTCTTTTAATTTTTAAGAACTATATGATTAGAAGAAGCATTTCACTATAGCTTTTACATACTCAGTAATACTTCTCTTTCAGAAGTGGCTGCATGTTCCCAGGTTCACAGTTGAATTAATACAGTTATACAATATTAAACTCGGTATAAGCCCTGTAAGACGTAAAATTGAATGAGTCTTTAACCTTGAAAAAAGATCTCCATTTCATTTTAGGATATATTGTTCCTTGCAGAAACACTCATTGTTTTTGCTACTAACACTGAGATGTTGGCACATGCATCTCTAATCTGTATGTATCTAATTATTAACTAGTCATAATCGGTTGGACTTGTTGGAAATAAGCCCTGTAAGACGTAAAATTGAATGAGTCTTTAACCTTGAAAAAAGATCTCCATTTCATTTTAGGATATATTGTTCCTTGCAGAAACACTCATTGTTTTTGCTACTAACACTGAGATGTTGGCACAT